TTCACGCCAATCCGTCACTCTGTTTCGACTTAAGAGAAGGACAAACAAACAAACAAACAAACAAACAAACAAACAAACAAACAAACAAACAAACAAACAAAAACAAACTTTCACATTTATAATATTAGTATGAATGTACTTAAATAGAACTCGTCATCTCAGGGCTTATTTGCACAAAGACTTACCTACAACTTACCGAAAAAGTTTTTAATAAGGAATTATTGATTTTCAAATGACAATTCTGTTGTTAAAATACACATTTTACTTGGAAAAGCCGAAAAATGTATTTTATTTATTTACTAGTGACTCACTCTCGCTCCGCTCGGGTACGTCTCTAGGTACGTTTTAAATAGATAACTATATAAAGATATATATAAAGATATAGAATATAGTTATTGTGAGTGTACCTTAGGAGAAAGACTTATGCTATTGCAAATTTTTCTGTAGGTCTTATTAAGACCTACAATTTTCTAGTACATTATTTTGATGTATCTCTTATGGTTTAGCCAGCGTTAGACATGTAAATTTCTAAGAACGACTCGATAGAACCAGTAATTTATTTTCCCGTGGGAAAGAAAACTTTCCTGTAGTTAAAGGTATCCTAAATGTTGACCCGAGAGAATAAGTTATACACAGAATTTAAAGTTGAAATCGGTTCTGAACTTCTTGCGTGAAACGCGCACATCGATTTCGCTACGTTACTGTTTTATTATATGTATATGTAGATAGAAATAAATAAAATTAAAGTGTCTGTTTGTATATGAAATTTTAATCGGTCCTTCTAAATAAAAATAAGAAAACCATCAGTTTTTAATTTTTTTCTATCTGTCTATTTGTTCCGGCTAATCTCCGAAACGGCTGGACTAATTTTGACGGGGCTTTCACTAGAAAATAGCTGAGGAGTAATTAAGGCAACTTTTATTTTAGAAAAAGAATTAGGGTTCCGCTTCAAAAATTAACTTACCTAGAGGACCCGAGCGAATCGAGGTTAAGTCGCTAGTATATGTATGTAAATCTTAGTAGATATAAAACTTCGTTTTTAAAATACAGGAGAAAACGCTACACAGTACAATGAGCATTGGTAGTTTGAACAGATAAGCACTAAGACGACGAACTATCTTCTTCTTCGGAGATCAGGGGTTCGATTTGTAGTCAAGGGTTGTAAATTCAATATAAACAAATGTACAAAATGTTTACTATGTGATCTAGATTTTTCTTCATTGAATAAGTTCCTATTAATTATCGGTATTTCCAAATCGTTATCTAAATATAAATCTAACGATTCCATAAAGTAAAAGATATCTTAAAGATATCTGTATAAGAGGTCACCCGAGAATCGAAGTCGGTACTACCGTATATCAAACGGCTTTACTCTAAGATCCAGAGGGAAACGTTGCAGTGAAATATGTTGCAAGCGTATACCAAACTATCCCACGGCCCACAAAGTTTCAGTATCCTGGAGGCAGGAAGAAATGAAAAATTCTTACATAAACATTCTTACATTATTATATGAAAATGTTTTTGTTTATCACTTTATCACCCTGTAACGAAGCAAGCGATTGTACATGAAGCTTATGAGTCGGAAAACGATATAAGCTATTTCTTATTCTAAATTATATATTGCATAGTTCCCGTGGGAGACAGATTATTTATTTCTTTTTTCGCCGATCTCACTAATGTCTCCTAAGTTTAAGGGGTCCCTTAAGCATGGTTAGGGGCTGTTAGGGGACAGTTTCTGTTTCACCGACAGTTAGGGGTCACCTAAATGTTAAAATGCCACCTAAATATAGGTACTAGAAATACGGGCTCTGACGATGGTAAAACGAAATTTAACTTAGGGGCTAGTTTAGGGGGACCTTTAAGCTAGGGATCCCATACGTAGGTGGTAGCTTATGGGATGTTGGTGAAATCGGACATTTATCTTTTACAATCATAATTCACCAACTTCAAAATCGTGGAGTTGTTTGTATGTATGTAATTTTATTAACTGAACTGATTTTCACAATATTTTTTGTGGTGGATCTTAAAATGTAAGTTAATTTCCCATTGATATATAAAAATATAGATACATACATACATACATATACACATTTCCCAACAAATATCTCTTCAAAAAGTGGCATCGATAAATAAAGTGAAGTCAAACCAAAGAATAAAATTCAAAAATCAAAAGTTTGATAATTTGAATTATCAAATACAAATTCGAACTAACGCAAAAAATTTGAATTTGAATTTCTAGTCCTTTATCTATACTAATATTATAAAGAGGTAAAGTTTGTGAGTTTGTGACGTTGTAGGGGGTAATCTCTGGATCTACTGAACCAATTTAGATGAAATTTGGTAAGAAGATAGTTTGAGACCCTGGGAAGGACATAGGATACTTTTTATCCCGGAAATCAGGAAGGGGGTGATAATGAGGATGAAAGTTTGTATGGGGAATCAACCATTAAAAATAATAAATTACTATTTCTAAGGAATTTAGTAAAATTATCTGATTGATAAAAGCTTTCAAAACCACTCCACAGTTTCGTAGCGCTTGTGCATCGCGGCTAAAAGCTCCCCTCGGTCGCGTTATCACCCTCGCTTTCAATGTTCAAAACCTATTTCACGTGCATCCTAGAATTTACACTACAACATATCTGGCTGACGTAAAAATAATGAATCGGGCAAAAATAGTCTTTATTGCAAGTGAATAGAGATGAAAATCGTACATGTTTCTATTATTGATAACTTGATATTGAATTGAAGAGCTCAACGTGTTTTACGTTACGTTCTTGTATATTAGTGTAATACACTTGTGGGTTCGAAAGATTACTTTCATTGATTTATGTGTAAGATATACCTAATTTAAGCTTCTTATACAAAACTATATTTTTTATGTTCATGGTCACGGGAGCTGGAATGCTTGATTAGGTATATTTTAAAACGATACGTTTGGCTCAGTTTGTTGTGATCCTACTTGCTGTGCCAGCGGTCGCGGGTTGGAGTCCCGCTGGTGGCATAAACACAAATGTTTGTACTCCAATCATGGGTGTTTGTATTCCTAATATGTACGTATTTAAAATTATACATGTGTAGTGTATCAACTATCTGGTATTCATAACACAAGCCTCGTATCTTACCATGGAACTAGATGGTGATGTGTGTTAATGTCCAAACAAATTATAAAAAACGTCAAATATTCGCGTATAATCGCGCAAGAAAATCGCGTATAATCTAAATAAACTTGCCAAATCTTTAAAAAAATATTGAAATTTTGGTATAAAAAGTTAAGCATGCCACCTTCAAGTAAACTACTAAATTAATCACAAAGTTTAATAAACGTGCATTCTCTAACCACGGTATTATGTGTACTATTTTTCTTGGTACATTTCTATATAAGTTGAAGGAGTTTTATATAACTTTATACAAGAGTAAGTAAAAGGCAGAGCTTAGTTATTTATTATTGCATAGTAAACTCAAACTCTTGAAATTACCCTGAAATCTATACATATTATACCTAATAAAATTGTAACTAAGCCGAATCTGTACATTTAATATTTTTCGGAAAATCTTATTGAAATAGACATTATTATCGATACAGAGGCCGAATATATAGTTTTTAGAATATTTGTCTGTCTGTCTGTCTGTTACCGTATCACAGAAAAACAGCCCTTTTTAACGTCCCACTGCTGGGCACAGGTCTCCCTTCAGTACGAGGGGGATCAAGCCGTAGTCCACCACGCTGGCCAAGTGCGGGTTGGCGGACTTCACATTGTCTTTAGAAGCTAGGTTCTCTCAGACATACAGGTTTCCTCACCATGTTTTCCTTCACCGTAAGACAAGTGGTAATCATGTTAGAAATAATTCGCACATGAAAATATCAGAGATGCGAGACCCGGGATTTGAACCCGTATCACTCAGCGAGCGCGTTACCACTTGGCTACCACTGCCTCTATCAACTCATAACATCAACTTGCTCACATGATTTCATGTTGAAATCTATGAAGACCGAATTAATGTTTTTTTTTAAATTACTTTTTAACTGATGACACACATCACTAGTTCATACTCGGAATCGATCAACATTCCAATACAGATTGAAGTGTTAACGGGAACGCGAACGGAATTAATGCATTCTACAATTTGAGTTCAAACTAAATTATTCATTTATGTATAGCATACTAGCTTCAACACGTTGACCTGCCTGTTCCTTCATTTTTGAAAATGCAAAGTTAGTGAGTCAGTATGTATGTTGGTTGTTTCTTTATGCTATATCGAGACAACGGATTTAATTGAAATTTAGTATAATCTCATATCTTAAATTAACATATTATACTTTCTATTAAACTCTACAAACTATGCGGGCAAAGCCTCGGTCGATAACTAGTATGAAATAAATCTTATATTTCGGTGCCATAAATCTGTCTAATCTACAATATTAATGTCTAATTTTGTGAATACGCGCCGTCTGTAATAATTATATAATAACTTTGAGAAGTCAAACACATTTGTATCTGCCTTATAGATTACTATAAAGTGTAAAGCATTCGAAACGTCAGGGACCAAAAATCAAATTTAATTCGCAAAAAATCCGAAAATATAATTTTATTTAAATTGTTAATTCTGTACTTATAAAAAATAAAAAAAAATTGTAACTAAGCCGAATCCGTACATTAAATATTTTTTGAAAAATCTTATTGGAATAGACATTATTATCGATAAAGAGGCCGAATCTATGGTTTTTAGAATTTTTGTGTCTGTCTGTCTGGTACCGCATCACAGAAAAACCACTGGAGGGATTTTGACGAAATTTGGTATGGTGATAGCTGGTTATCCCGATCAACGTATAGGATACTTTTTACCGCGAAAATATCTCATTTCTGAGAAAAAATACAAAAACTGCATTGTAAGAGTACTAATATGTAAAACCCAAGAATTTGTTTTTGGTCATCTGAACGCGGGCGGAGCCGCGGGAAATGCTAGTTATACATATAATTTAAATATTCGCGTATATCTCAGAAAGTGTTAAATAGAGCTCCTGTACATCTAAATAAACTTACGCTTCCATTCTTTCTAACAATGAACGCTAATCCACCTCCTCGACCGGGCTTCGCCCCAGCAGGCCGGGGGACACGCCCCACGAAGCACCGATCTCGTGAACGAAATATAGGATTTGGCTCACTATCTTCATCTTCTTCTGATGCTAAAAATTAAAAAAAAATTAATTATTACTAATCAATATCCAAAAGGGGGGTTAAATTCTTCACAGTTTTGTGAGACATGACACAAACTTAAATATGACGCATATAATTTAAATATGTATTCTACAAATTAAAAGAAGATGAGAAATAAAAAAACACATTTCATATTTTAAATAGTATTTTATATAGTTCGGAAGACAGTTTTTTTATTTATTATCACAATCAGACCATACACTAGAAGGTAACTAACGTTAGACAAACCCGATTCAATCAATTAAAATGATATTGCAGTTTACACGCGTTTATTTCTGTTTTATTGTACGTAAAATTTTCGTGTAGATTGGTCTATTGGGAAAACAAATCCTTAGATCTTTTTTTTTTTTTTTTTTTTTATGGGACTAAGGGGGCAAACGGGCAGGAGGCTCACCTGATGAAAAGTGATCACCGCCGCCCATGGACATCTGCAACACCGCAGGGCTTGCAGACGCGTTGCCGGCCTTTAAGAAAGGAATACGCTCTCTTCTTGAAGGTGGCCAGGTCGTAGCGGTTCGGAAAGACCGCCGGCGATAGCTGGTTCCACAGAGTGGTTGTGCGGGGCAGAAAATGCCTTAAAAATCGCACTGTTGTGGAACGCTGGACATCGAGATGGTGTGGATGGAATTTACTATTTTGGCGCGATGTCCGATGGTGAAATTCGGCAGCCGGGATCAGTCCGAACAATTCCTCGGAACACTCCCCGTGATAGATGCGGTAGAAGATGCAGAGTGATCCAACATCTCTACGCAGAGCTAAAGGATCAAGCCGATCGGAGAGAGCTTGATCGTCGATAACTCGAATCGCCCTACGTTGAATGCGGTCAAATGGAAGTAGCTGGTACTGGGGAGCTCCCGCCCAAAGATGAGAACAGTACTCCATGTGGGGCCGAATTTGCGCCTTATAAAGAATAAGACGCAAATAACTCGATCTAGATGATTCTAGGCTATATAGAGTCGACTTTAAAAATCTATACCTACATATAGTAAAATTCTAACTGAGCCGTATCTGTACATTATTTTTTTGGAAAATCTCATTAAAATAGTCATCATTATCGATACACAGGTCGAATCTATAATTTTTAGTTTTTTGTATGTCTGTCTGGGAACACGTCACGAGAAAACCACTTGACAGATTTTGATGAAATTTGGTAAGATGGTAGCTGGTTATCAGGGTCAACATATAGGATACTTTTTACTGCGGGAAAATATCTCTTCTGTAAGAAATCTATACTAAACGTTAACCCAAGCGGAGTAAGGTTGAGTCGCTAGTAAAATATAAGTATTTCTTAAAATTTACATTATCATACCCGTGATGTAAAATTACTTCGGTCAAATTTTCCTACACTCGAGTCGCTCATATAATTTCATGGAATATTTAATAGTTATATTAAACTAAAACAGTTTGTGAACTATTCTACCACCGGTGTAATAATTTTATTAAAGCCTCGCATGACAGTCTATTTATTGTAGAATAAATATTTTAAGGAATATATATAACATGATAAAGAAAACTTTATATAATAAATGCGAAAGTAACTCTGTCAGCCTATCTGTATGTATGTATGTCTGTTACGTTGTCAGGCCCAAACCGCTAACCAATTTTGATGAATTTTGGTTTTGAGATAGATGGGACTTTGGAGAAGGATAAAGTCTATTTTTTGTCGCGAAAATAAACCTTGAAGGAGGTGAAATGGGGGTTGTATGTTTGTATGAGGAACCGACTAACTAAAATACACTCACGATATTTATTTAAAACATACTGAAGCGCAGGTAAATTGCTGGCATAAGACATAATTTTAGTATCAAATACAGCTTGATTACTTGAAAAAATCGTTACTTACATATTAACGACACCGCTGTAGATTGGCATTAACTTATAAATGGTATTATTTTAAGGATATTAGCTTTTGTTGGAATATTCTAAAATTATTTTACATCACTACAGCTACTGCAGCTACTGTATAGGCGGGTGGCGTTTATACGTAAGTACCAAAAAATCAAAAAAATAATAATAATTTTGTATGATAATTAAAAACATAATATACAAAATAGGCAACATTTACACGACATAAAAACACTTACTTATATGGCTTATTCGTATGGTAAAATTGGAGGGGCTCGAACCAGTGACTTTCAGCATAGAAGCAAATTCTCACCAGATGGCCGATGTTTTAATTGACCAATTCCTTAGCATATGATGCGATTCATGACATAATCAAACATTCAAATTACCGACGTGGTCGTTAACAAAGTTTCGGTCACAACAATTTAACTTTTGCTATATTTCAAGAGCGAATAGGCTTTCACAAATAAGATATTAAGATAATCATCTAGACTTAGGTAAGTTTGTATATTAGATTGGCGAAATTGGCACGATAATTTTCCTTCTAGATACTAAAACTTTTCGTTGTGTATTTAACTAAGTTGTTAATGAGCCTTAAAAGTTAAACAATTAAAATACAATTAAATACAATTAAAATAAATATTCGATAACTGTCTAAAATTTCTTTGAATAATATACTTTATCTTTACATTTTGAGTTTTGTTGTTTGTTTTTTGTTGGTCCTTCTTTTTGTAACAATGGAGCAAATGATCAATATATTTTTTTTGAGAAATAATGTATTGTAGTAAATGAAAGTAGATAAATCCTGAGTTAAAAAGCAGAGGTAAATAACTAGTAAATAATAAAAGGCATTCAATTCGGTCTCATTGCTATGAGCAATCACTAAAAGAAAATTTTTGGTCAAATAATGTGGTGTATAATAGTTACTTGGATTTAGCAAATTTTGTTAGTTCATGGCAGCAAGTATTTCGAATGTAATTCGCTGTCTGCAAGATTCATTACTTTTACTCGTTAGTAGTGACTTAACCTCAACCTTAGACTTAACCTGAGTAAATCTAACCACCACAGACATACGTCCGTGCCTTTTTTGAGCAATTCTTATGTTTTGTTGTTATTTTTATTTTCGCGGAGCCTATATGGTTTATGCGATAGTTTAAAGAATACTCTGCTCGCCCTAAGTTTGAATGGTTTAGGAACGCATAAAAGGCAAACGTCCAAACAATTTTTTTTTGCGCCAGAAATTTTTGCTATCGTATACAGGATAATCCACCAAAGTTTCATCACAATCAAATCAATGGTTTAGGAACACATATAGGACAAACATACGAACATTAATTTTTATTTATATAGATAGACAGAAGAAAAAGACTATTCCCGAATGCAACCCACAGTACTTTATTTACAATTTAAATCCACTAACATTCTAATAATACTTTCTTAGATTTACGCGAATATTTGACATTTTAAATAAAACTATCTTTTCGGATTTTGTCGCGGATTTATTTGGATTTTTGTTTCCCGACGTTTCGAATGCTTTACAGCATCCATGGTCACGGGAGAGACTGAGGTGTTACATGTCTTGAATGTATAGTTGTTACAGACAGCCTACCCACAATTAACAAAATGAAAATTGCACCAATTACATTACAATATTTTTTAACTTTAAACATTTTTATAATTTTAATTATAATTGAATATGGAAAATTATTTATTTAATTTTGCTATTATTTTTATAATTATTACAATTTTAAAATATTAATTAGTAATCTATATTTAGTGTTGCCATTATTATATTTATAACCATAAAGAAAAATATAAAATATAGTATTAATTATTAAAGCCATATAATTGTTCTATGTGTAATTTAAAAAGTTAAAATTAATTAAGGATAATAATTTTAATTTAGTTTGCTATTATTTAAAAACAACTTACTAAGCAACACTATTAATATACACTTTTACAAATGAAAAATGAAAAATATTAGTCTGATAAGCTGTCATTTTGATCTACACAGTATGAACTTACTACATCTGCCTGTCTGTTATGTAGTAAGTTCATACTGTGTAGATCAAAATGACAGCTTATCAGACTAATATTTTTCATTTTTCATTTGTAAAAGTGTATATTAATAGTGTTGCTTAGTAAGTTGTTTTTAAATAATAGCAAACTAAATTAAAATTATTATCCTTAATTAATTTTAACTTTTTAAATTACACATAGAACAATTATATGGCTTTAATAATTAATACTATATTTTATATTTTTCTTTATGGTTATAAATATAATAATGGCAACACTAAATATAGATTACTAATTAATATTTTAAAATTGTAATAATTATAAAAATAATAGCAAAATTAAATAAATAATTTTCCATATTCAATTATAATTAAAATTATAAAAATGTTTAAAGTTAAAAAATATTGTAATGTAATTGGTGCAATTTTCATTTTGTTAATTGTGGGTAGGCTGTCTGTAACAACTATACATTCAAGACATGTAACACCTCAGTCTCTCCCGTGACCATGGATGCTGTAAAGCATTCGAAACGTCGGGAAACAAAAATCCAAATAAATCCGCGACAAAATCCGAAAAGATAGTTTTATTTAAAATCCACTAACATTCGTTTCAGATGGTAGGTGAAAAGGTTAAAGCATGAGAGCGAATTAATCACTTTGGTTGTGACATATACATGATACATCAAGTAGCTTCCTATTCCATACTCGATTATAATCTATAGTAAAATAAGTCTAGAAACTCTAGAACGTATAAAGTGAATAAATAAATAAATATATTGGGACATTAACACACATCACCATCTAGTTCCATGGTGAGCTACGAGGCCTGTGTTATGGATACCAGACAGTTGATACACTATCTTTAAATACATAGATATTATAAATATATGAAATATAAAGTACACCTTTATATTTAGTAAAATATGTCTAAATTCATATAACCGAAGCGCAACCTTTGCACCCCAATTTCCACGGTTTAATATTATATCGACGCCCCAAATTGGTGTGTCGTGAAATTACTTCATGAAGTAATTTACTCGCTGGAATACTTCAGGTGGGTGCATGTCTGACTTTTAAACGTTAGTCTTATAATAGAAGGGAATACTTTTTTTCCTTAACCGAAGGGTACCAACGGGATCCTGTTTCTAAGCCTCCGCTGTCCGTCCGTCTGTCCATCAGGGGGCTGTATCTCATGAACCATAATAGGTAGAGAGTTGCAATTTTTAGACTATGTCTATTGCCGCTATAACAACAAATAATAAAAAACCAAGATGGCGAATTTGCAAAAAAAAATATTAGTACATAGGGATATATCTTGTACGATGGTACGGAACCCTTAGTGCGCGAGTTCGACTCACACTTGACCGGGTTTTTTTATAATCAACAGACGTATGGTATGTGCTTGTAAAGACAAATGCAATGCATTTTTTAGGGTGTATGTGTAGTACGTCGTAGGTCATAATTTTGAAGCCTTTACGAGATAATTATTTAAATTTATCACTAGTAATGGGTGTTGGCAAACAGGAAGAGCTTCGGTTCCATAAATACAAACATATATACGAGTAGAGGACAAAAACCACAAGGCGTTACAGTGTTGTTGAAAATTTACCTAGTCTTTTACTGTTTCGAATAAATAAAGAAGAAATTTTCATCCCACTTTTCATACCAAATTGCATCTAAATCGGTGCAGCGGATTTTTAGTTTATCCATTACAAGCAAACTCACAAACTTACAAACTTTACCTCTCTATAATATTAGCACCTCCAGATAAATTTCTAAGAAATTAATTAAATTTCTAAGAAATCTATTGTTAACTGTAACACCGGCGTGTCCGCGGTCGTGGAGGGATTATTGCACATATTTATAGGAATCGGTTAAATGGGTAGAAGTTGATGCGCGGCGCGATAAATGCGAATGCATAGGATAAATAAATACGTGGATGTAAAAACACTTATAATATGGGTCAAAATATTCCGTAAAGAACTTTAAAAAATTGAACCATAATTATTATTGAATACTAACTTTTAATTATAACATTAAAAGCTCGACAATAGCTACTAAATAGAAACAAGAAAATCAGTTGACAAACAGAAGAGAAAAATATTGAACTGTTATATATATATATATATATATATATATATATATATATATATATATATATATATATATATATATATATATACTAGTAATCACCCCGTTGAAAATCAACCATAATTCATTAAGTCTGATCGATATTGACGTTCTTTTTCGAAAGTTATATAAATAGCTTATAAAATCCAAACGAATTTTGAAACGGGCCCATAGATTTAGAGATTTGCTGTTACAGACAAACAAACTATTCATTTTTATCTTATGTACGTACTATAGACTCTTATAATATTGATGCAAGTTATCTAACATCATGTATTTTTAGCAGTGAAGTAGTTACATTTAAATAAAATGCGCGAGCGGATTTACGGGTAAAAAAAGTCAATTAATTTTGGCTTTCTGCAGTCCTTCTCTATATAAATATTAACTATGCCAAAGCTCAACCCTCCATAAGTGCAAAATGCTTAAAAAGGGGTTCAAAGTTTTCTGTTCACGTATTCTATATTAATATTATTATGCCTCGGTGGTATAGTGGCTAGCATGTACGGCTGCACACCTGGAGGTCCTGGGTTCGAGTCCCGGGTTGGGCCAAGTTTAGTTATTGAGTCTTCCTGTATAGTGAGTCTCAGTAACAGCCTGGAGTTGGGAAGTTGGCGGTGTTTCACCCCCGTGCCTCGGAGAGCACGTAAAGCCGTCGGTCCTGCGCCTTAACTCTCACCGGTCGTGTCGAGTGGTCGTCCCACCAGAGTATGAGAGTGATAGGAATAGAGAGTGCACTTGTGTCTGCGCGTACACTTGAGCACTATAATATCTCCTGCGCAGTTGGCTAATCTCATTGAGATTGGCCGCCGTGGCTGGAATCGGCTAGGAGGACATCATCATCATCATCACTAATATTATAAAGAGGTAAAGTTTGTGATTTTGTGAGTTTGTGACGTTGTAGGGGGTAATTTCTGGATTTACAGAGCCGATTAAGTTGAAATTTGGTAAGAAGATATTTTGAGACCCTGGAAAGGATATAGGATACTTTTTATTCCAGAAATCATCCCTTAAGGGAATGAAAATGGGGATCAAAGTTAGTATTGGGAAGCAAGCTAGGGACGAACCCGAGCGAAAAGAAGGTGAGTCGCTAGTTATTTATATACAGATAGCAATACTAACATTCACGTTCAGTATGTTTCAATATGCCCCTCAACTTTTGCATCGTAATACGTTGGCTGGAATGGCTACGGCTGTCTGAGTCATCGGGCTCGGACTTGCTATGTACTTTGCATTTCTTCTTCTTCACATTACCATTTTTGTATTTTAATATACTGAAAAATTAAATATTTATAGTTTAAAAATGTTTCTTTTCTAAAATATTAACGTTACGCTTTACATTACTACCATTTCATACAAATTCTAATACAAAGTAAAACATTTTCTTTTTTTAATCAAAATATTAATCTGAATTTGTTGAAGTATGGACACTGGTCAAAGTAATAAAAATTAACAGATAATAAAGAAAAAATATTTTTGACATTAAAAATTAATAATATATTTTATTTACCTACGTACAAGAAAGGAGAACTTCATTCTGAATTATCTGTCTATCTTTGTATATAATGCATTTTGGATTTTAATTTGAAATAATATGTGTACTTACGATAGCTTCTTCTTCATTTTAACATTTTCGACAGAACTGGATGTGTCTTCTGTCTCTTCGGAGTCTGTATATAAATATGACAGTTTACCCATTTTGTTTATGCGAAACAATTTAAAAATTTAGAGTATTGATAACTAAATTATTGTACATACGTCACATATTTGCATAGATGTTATTAATATTTTTATATATTTTTTATTTTAGTCATCATTTTAATAGCACGACGCTGACATAATTAACTTTATCGCGATTGTTATTTTAGTGCCAATTTCAACTGTCACGTGTTTTTTTTGTTATTCATATTAATACAGAACCTCTTTTAAATTTCAAAAAATTCAATACTATACTACTATACTTTCAAATAATTGTAAAAAAAATATGGATTTCTCACTCCGCTGTCTGAATGCCATTTTTTTCATTTATTTATATTTAATAAGACCTATATCATTTATACTTTTGATACCACATTATAGCTGCTAAATTTCAAAATTACCGCTCAATCTCATTCGTGTCTTCCTCACAAAAATGGACACTGGCAGAATGAATTGCGTCTGTCAACGCAGCTCTAAGCCATGACGAGAAGAAAAAATTAAGACCTATATTTTAAAATAGATTTTTAAAGTTTAATTTATATTATTTTGGATTAAATTGAACAATAAAAACATTTGAGTACATCAGTTTTGTTACCGCATTTTAAAATGTGGTATTTTATCACACGTATGTAACATCTTACGTTACAGCATCAGCGTAAAATCATATTTATAAAGCGATACAGGAAGACATTTATTTCCAAGCACATTTCGAGTTAAATTGAATTTGTTAACGTTTGCTGAAGACGTCAATATTATCTTTACTAACATTTATTATTAAGTCAGAGGAAAATAACATTATGCCTATAAATTCAGATACACGCATTTCTATTTTAAATAACAAATATGTAGTTACATTTTACGAATTATTTTTATTTATTTCAAAAACTATTTACCAGTTAATAAAATTAATTTTTATATCACGTTGTACAAGAACAAAAACTTTTTAAATTAATTTCGTAATGAATATTGAATGCAGCCTAATGAAAAGAATTAGCGTTTCCCTCCTAATACAAATTCGAAATTCGAATGCGAAGATTCGGGATTCAAATGAGAAGCAGTGGGGTTCCTATTACACGACCGTAATAATGTTTTTAACATGTCTCGATATATTACTTTCTTAGATTTACGCAAATTTTAACATTTTAAATAAAACTATCTTTTCGGATTTTTTCGATTTATTTTGATTTTTGTTTACCGACATTTTGAATGCTTTACAACAGTGATTTTAAACAGTGACTGAGCAACTAAAAATCAAAATAAATCCGGGAAAAAATTCAAAAAGATAGTTTTATTTTATTTAAAATGTCAAATATTCGCGGAAATCTAAGTAAGTATTATGGATATATCATCGGAGATATAAAGATGAAAATTTGTATGTACATGTGTCTGTTTATTACTCCATCATGGCGATTGGATTTATATGAAATATACGCAGACTGATTATAACCTGGAATAAATAGGCTAAGGTAAGTTGCTACAATATACATTTTTTCTTTAAAATAACATCGATAAACATTCTGTCCTTTAAAACAACAGAATTAATTTAAAAAAAATATTGTATAGAACCTTTTTATAAAACATTGTGTAAAAATGAAATGGAGAGTAATTTGAAAGACGCCACTGTGATGATAGTCGTAAATGGCCGCAATTCATTTCGTTGGTGCGTTAATCCATTTTGTTGGAATTGAATTATACTTTCCATCTGCAACGTGTGAGATAAATACAAATTATTTGATAAATTCATACATCTTTACACTTCATATTTACATTTTACTACGTGTATCCAAGGTAACGAAAGAAAGTTACTTTAGAGCACATAATTTTCAATTCAATTTTCTTGTTATGGCTTCAAAGCGTGCCAGTTGAGCACAGATTATTTCACCAATGTCACGTAGAATGGGGAAAGTAATTTTATATTCAGATTAAAGAATTACATATATATGTCGTAGGATAATTTGATAATTAGAATTTTCGTGAAAACCCTAGGGACATTGAGAAAACACGGATAGTTAGACAATGGTTAGGTAAGTTTTATTTTTTAATAACGTGACAGTTCCGTCTTGGATAACGTAGTTTGAGAAGGCTAAGAAGAAAAGGCTAATGCGGGAGCTACATCTTACTCAGAACAACTTTTTCTTTCTTTCTAGGTTGGTTAGGTTAGGTTAGAACATGTTTTTACAAAAACCCTACCTTTTTCCAGTAAGATTGAGAAATTCTTTCACCATTGTCTAATTATCCGTGTTTTCACGATAACCCTATGTATTTTGCGAAAATTCGAATAACTTAATCATCCTACGACATGTATACGGAGTCCGCCAAAATAAATGTCAAAGTAAAAAGTAATAGCGTGATTTAATGTTTATGCTACTATTCTAGATTTTGCAATACAGATCATTTACTTTCTATGAAGAATAATGAAAATTTTTATAGGTATTAGTAGTAAATTTAATTTTTTTGTAAAGAAAATATGAATAATAATGATAATTATATATTATTTTCTATTTTTTACATTTTTTATACACGCGATGGCCACGGAGACGGTATATTTATGCGTATGGGGTAAGAGGTGTTTGTGTGTGTCTGTATTGCCAGTGACTTTATTGTTAACTAGCATTGCCCGCGGCTCCGCCCGCGTTCAGATGACCAAAAATCAAATTCTTAGGTTTTACATATTACTATACTCTTACATTGCAGTTTTTGTATTTTTTCTCAAAAATGCGATATTTTTCCGCGGTAAAAAGTATCCTATATGTTGACCCGGATAACCAGCTATTAACATAGCAAATTTCATGAAAATCCCTCCAGTGGTTTTTCTGTGATGCGGTAACAGACAGACAGACAGACAGACAGACAAAAATTCAAAAAACTATAGGCTCGGCCTCTGTATGGATAATAATGTTTATTTCAGTAAGATTTTCCAAAAAATATCTAATGTACAGATTCGGCTTGGTTACAATTTTATTATATTTATAGATTAATGTGCATTCTACAACACAAGTTACGCACGACAATTAATAATAATATTTTAAAATACGTTTTGATGTCGTGGGTTTTTGAAATTTTTTATTGATTTTTTTTTTCATGTCACAATTTTTTAATCATTAGGGGAAAGCCCTTGAAAGAGGGCTAGCATAATATTAGCTTATTTATATTTATTTCTTTTTTATAATAAAATCGGTCAGCTATTTTTACTTATTATAATTTATTTACTTATTACGCTCTAATGAGTAGGTATTCTATTAATATTTCTACACTGTTTAAAAACATTATTGTTTGGCTTCATGTTTAATTCTATAACACTCCGTCTATATTATTTCTTAGCCTGTGCTATAATAATTTCCACTATGATTAAAAAAATATATAAAAATTATACTTAATAAATATTAAAATGATAGTTCAATGTGAAATAATAACTCAAATAAGCAAGGTTTTCATTCTAATAACAAAGTATATCTAGATTAAGTTCGACTAACTCCATCGAGTTCACCTCCACTAAGTCTACAAATTATTTACGAGCAACTTCAGGAGATGTAATTAGTCACTCGCATGGGACAAATAAAGTTTGATAGCGTAGCTTAAACTGGGATAACAATATGAAATGTTATCCACTGGATAATAACCTGTAATCTATTTTTTTAAAGAACATAGTGAAACAAAACTCTTTTCTCTCTATCTCTCTATTTAGGTACTATCTGATAACCCAACATTCAACCCCTATTTTGTCCCGCCGGTAAAGTTGAGATAATCACCCTCTTCTCAGTCAGTTAGCCCTCTACCCCTTTAGCTCTTATACATATATAGGCCACTAGCGACTCACCCCGCTTCGCTTCGGGTTCGTTCCTACACAAAACAAATCTATCCCACAGGAATCGTACATTTTTCCGGGATAAAAAGTAATTTAAGTACTAATACAGACTATAATCTATCTTTGTGTCAAATTTCATCCCGATCCGTTCAATGGTTCTGGCGTGAAGGAGTACATACATCCATCCATCCAGCCTCACAAACTTTTACATTTATAATATTAGTGTGATGTATATACGTTTGTCTATTCCTTAAAAATATTTTATTTGGATGCTTCTTAGAAGTCAAAAGATCTAATTTTATAATACTTATATATAAAATTCGTTTCTCATAGCTTTGTCTTTGCTATGGAAAACTATCTTTAATTGAAACTTTAAACAAAGCGGTGGCTTGTGAAGTTTTCGTAAGTAAATACTGAAGAGCAAATACGGTCTAACGCCAACACCTCAGTGATTTGGTTTAATATTTAAAATAAAAATTACGTATCGTTGTTTATCTGAATCCATGTCTGCGTATAATAAACTGAAAGGATGCTATATTTATGAAGAAATATTGTCCGTCTGTCTCTATTAATGAATATTTAAGAATGCCTAAATGGATTTGAATGAAATTTAGTAGAAAGATAGATTATGACATAGAGGCATAGGCAGTAGGCTACTGTAAGGCATCTGCTAGAGCAAAGTGTGGGTAAACCGCTAGCATTAAATATTTAAAGTTTCTGCTAATAATTTTATTCCCATAGGTATGTTTTAATTTTTTTTGAACGGAATCCTAATTCGTTCCATTGAAAGTCCCGTCAAAATCAGTCCAGCCGTTTCAGAGATAATCCGGAACAAACAGACAGACAGACTAAAATTTAAAAAAATGTATTTTTCTTGTAAGTACCGTATATAATTTAATATGCATTTAGTAAAACGCTGTTATTTTGACATTACAAACAGACACTTCAATTTTATTTATATGTATAGAATATAGATAGATTTTCTTTTGCCTATTTCTCTTAAAGAGATATCGTTGTAGATAACAAACCATCATTACTGAGATATCATCCCAATAGACAGACTGACTCATTCACTGGAAAAAAAAACAAATTTGAAGCCCAACAGTCCTAACTATAACATATTCATGAGGGATATCCATCGACGTCCCCAGACTAAAACCGCAGTATCTAGATTCAATTCAGATGGACATAGAGT